AATAAAGCCTGGTAATATTTGGGAATGTGGTTACCCCTTCCCTTGCTCTATTCTGGGACAGCGAAGCTTGTCCTGCCCCAAATCCCTAGTATGCTCAACACAAGGCTGCCCAGATTCCTCCACCTCTGCTGGGAGGCTTCGGTTCTGGAAGCAAACTCATGGTTATCTCCCGTTTGCCTGAAGTCCAGAGGCCTTACTTCTCCAAATTTTTGTTTTCTAAAATGACACCACATTCGAAGGAGAAACAATTCAGGAATGTTCAGCTGTTTCCAGGTATTTAGAATAAACAGATTTTCAAGCAGCCTGTTAGCAAGTTATCCTGGAGTATTCCCTAGAGTTCGCAGCTGAAGCAAAATATAGCAGAGATCAGACATTACCACATTAACCATCTCCTGGTCTTGTTATCAAGTGCCTTCTCCCCACCTGATGACAATCTACCCTGTTAGGCACTGATGAATCAAGAACTTTTACAGACCAAGACGTGGAGTAAAGAACTCATCACTACAACAAAATCCAAATGCAAACCTCAGCTCCTGCTCTCCATCAGGAGGATCTCCCCATGAAGAGCCAATAAAGCAGTCCAGCTACTCTCCTGCAAGGTGAAATGAAGATGTTGCTATTTTTTGACACTAACAAGTGGGATGGAGCCCTTCTACCTCTCTCTTTGAAGAGTGAAAATGGATGACTGTCACCTTCCTCGGAGGCAGCCTTGTGGAGGGGACACGCTTACCTGATTCAAGAAACAATGCTTCACAAATAGAACACTTCATCTGTCTCAAAGAATAAATTCCTGGAAGGAAAAATTTCTGCTTTCAATTTAGGTCCTTGGTTAGAAGGAAAACTAGTTAATTGTCTTATTGCCTTACCTTGAGGCACCCCTTACACAGGAAGTAAGGGACACTGTATTGCAAACAACCACCAGAAGGGCTTTCATATAAATGATAATTTTATTGTAAATAAAACGATACATTGGCCTGGCTTTGCACTGCAAGCCCCCGGTCGGTATATATAGACTACTGGTTCAAGGTCTTCTGCACAATCCAGGTTAAAGCAACTTCTCCCTCCTCTGCACAGTTTGTGTCAGACAGGTCTTGACAGATAATAAAGTCCTCTTCTTAATTCCTGAATTACCCCCTAGGCACATCCACCTTTTCTAACTGGGAAACTCAGAGCTGCTCTGTGAGATTTGCTCCTAAACAAAGCTGGGGTTTAAAGACCTGATGCCCCAACACCATTAAATCAGAGGACACCTATTTTTTTTCTGAAAATTAAAGACAGACTGAATACTCCCAGCTCCAAGGGCAGGCACCAAGGTGACAGCCACAGGACTGTACGTATTCAAGCATTAAAACCTTTCCATCCAGCAGCTATTAACCTAAGCACCAGTCCCTGTGATCTCATTCAGCCCCCCTGTACAGCTCTAAGAATCTGGCCTTTGCCTACCACGAAAAGCATGTACAGCAGAGATGTATAGATTTACTGAGGTTTCACAAGTTGTCCTGGCTCTCTGGGCACTTGAAAATAACGTGTCACCTAAGCAGGTACCAATTTTCCTCTCGGTCAATTTGTTTTTGTAATTAATGGCAACGGAAACTGTCTGGAGCATCTTCAAGTCCTTTGGAATGCTACTCCAAAAATATGAAAAAAATAATCCAAATTGCTGCAACCTACTGCCACTAGAACAGGCAAAGATTGGATTTACTGGAGAACAAGCAAATAACCTGGAATGCACAGAATCGTCACACCAAGACCAAAATGCCAATAGTTTGTTTCCTAACAAGCTCAGAGACAGCCAAATCTCCCATTCCTCCAAGTTCCTCTCTAATGGGAATTTCAGACATTTTCGTGTTCAGTTTCAACTGTTTCAGGACAATGGGACGCCTATAAGATGTTTTTCTTTAAACAGAGTATTCTCCAGTTCTGCAGCACCTTCCATCAAGGATCCTAATACTCTACATTCACTATATATCCCTCCCTGGAAGGAACAGCAGAAAACACAACATGACATTTGGAATGGACACAATAGCTTATTGTTAGCCTGGCACTCCTCCTCCACTCTCCCTTCAATGAGTTTATTTCCATTTTTTTCCAACTCTGCCAGGATAAAGAGGCCAGATGTAATTCAATTTAGGGGTATAATTACATTTATGTCCACTTGAAACTTTTTTGCTGCCAGGGCCGTGTTAAGAGACTGCAGTATAAGTGTCAGTCCCAAGCTTATTCACTGTAGCAGTGGACTTAGGAATCCAGATCTTCCTTTTCCAAAAATCAAGAAGAGGGCTGTGAGGAAACAAAGAATGCATTTTGGCTTGGCTCTACTCGTTATAAACCATCAGCAAATTCTCTGCAAAACCAGCTGCTTTTTTTCCTTTTTAAATTCATAAAGGCGTCAAATTTATTTCCCATCCTCCCCCCCTACCCCGTAACAGTCGAGTCGATATATATAAAAATCACCAAATATGATCTTTTACGATATAAATAAAAAAAAAAGTATGAGGCATCACCGTTTACATGATGTAAAAAGAGCTAAAAAAGAGCGATATAAACTACATTCATAAAAGTGCATCTCCAAACATACAAGTAATGCTTTGGCTTGTTCCTGTGCCGAACGGGTGGCATTGGGTCAGGTACTGGAATACAAGAAGTCCAAGCTGGCACCCCATGTTCTCTGTCACTGTACAATTGCTATTTACTTTCATTAATACAGACTGGAATACAAGAGTATACACGGAGTAGGCACATCTCAGCATAGGTGGTGGGAAGGACCAGAAGCTCTGGCAGGGAGAGGACTGAGCCCATCAGTCCATGATGCTCTTTGCTCTGCTCTGGAACAGCCCTCCATGACACATATGAGGTAAAAGCCACAACAGATCCTGAGGATTTAGTTGCTTTGAAACATTAGAAGTTACACCATTTCCTCATGCCCTATTCTCTCCCAAAACACAATGTGTGGGATAGCAAGGAAAGACCATGGAAGAAGGTCTCAATTTGGTGAGGACAAGCCAAGGGTAAAGAGCAACCTACGCAGACAGGATCGCCGCGCTCTGCATTGCTGCAGGGTGAAGTGTGATGAATCAAAGATTCCAATCTTTGGTACGTTTCGGTGCTAGTTGCAAGGCTTGAAGAGTGCTATTGGGCCCCACAGGAGTGTTGACCACCCTACTGCTGTCATTAACACTACGGGAATGATCTCACATTCCTCTGCAGCACATGTAGCCATTTACACCACACTGAAGTGGTGTAAAAAGCCCCCTAAAACAGAGTAGTAGTGTCATGCCCTCGCTCCCCTTCGGTGCAAGTGACAGTGCAGCGCTGGCCAAAAATCAGGCCACGTGTCCTGACAATTTGGAGTCAAGTTCCAAGTTTGGAAAAGATCAACACAAGTGCTCTCACCAGAATTAAATAAATTATGGACCAAGGGCTTTCGTAAAATATCCCCCCTAAGTGCCTGCAACCTAAACAGTGCATCCTTGTAGTGCAGGAGAGCCTGAAAGTGAAAGCAACGCTAGCTTGCTTTCACTGATTACACATTGCTCTGAGTCTGGCACAGAAAAAACACTTCAGATTGTTAAACCCTTTCAGGGCTTCTGGTTGTTTGGGGTTTTTTAGGGTTCTTTTTTTCCTCTATTAATTAAACACAGTGTTTATCATGTGGTCAAGGAGCTTGGTTTCATTAAAACGCGCCCTTTCCTGCTATTAGCATTCACGTAAAACCCATTAGTTTTACTGCATTATGAAAGCAATTTTCAAGTTTTTATAGGGGAGAAGAGTGGAGGTATGGGGATCCTTAATATGGTTTCCAATACAAGAGCAGAACACCTTTAGTGTTGCTCTATAAAGCAACTATTTTAGCTAATAATGCATTTGCTTTTCTTAGCTTCATTTTGCACAGTTAACTTCGAGTTACTCCATGAATCCCCAGCACTTAAAAACTGCTGGTCTTTCATGAGTGAAATAAGGACTATTAGTGCCCCGATCAACACACAGCGTTTGAGGCCAGCAAGCCACCAGGAACTCAGTTCTCAGAGACGTGGTACCTTTCAGATCCAAAATCACTTGGACACATGACACTGGTACCTGCATGGGGATCCCCAGTTGATTTTAGAAACGTGCTAGCATTACAAATGCTCTCTCTGGTTCGCCATTTGACTTAATTCATACCAAAACTTAAATTATTAGGGCCCTAATATTTTATGGAAACCTTAAATGAACACTTGCACACATGTAAAACAAAACACACACTGAAGGGTTGAGCTTGATTCTAACTCACTGTGCACAAGTAAAACTAGTGTCCATCAAATTCTCCCTGTGAAAAACTCGATTTTCTGTTAGGCCAGGTCCTCAAAGAAACACATAAGCTTTTCCTGAAGTAAATTCCTGGGCACCAGAAGAACTCTTTGGTTTAAGGGCTGGTAAAAAGTTACCAGCCAAAAGACAGGTGCAACGGAAAGTTGTTCTACAGAATTCCCTTCCCGAAGGGATTTGTTTAGACCCAGCAGTCCCAGGGAGATGAAGCAGGAGCACAGATTTGTTGGCTATGTGGACACAAACTAATGCTAGGACAGATCAAGCCTTGGAAATCAAGCTCTGGATTTCCTCATGTCAGTGGGAGAGCCTTTATATCTCAGGCCCTGGAGTGATTGCATTCTGCAGAAACTTTTCTGATTACCCTGACATTTAGCTAGAAAGACCTCCCTCACCCCAACCCCAAAATCCATGGTTTCATTATAAAATAACACTATTCACATACTTTTGAATCAATATTTTCTGAACACCTTCAGATGCTGAATACTTAAGAAGAAAAATATATCATTATATAGCGAGCGCATGCTCAATGACACATGGCTTTTTGCTGGATTCATGTACTGCAGATGCCTCTAAAGCCCTAGCAGTCTGGAAAACAGTGACCCACATGTAGAGAGCTGGTCTGGACAGCTGCTGCACGTTTCTGTTCTGAGGAGTGTAGCTCTTCCAGTTCCCACTTTGGTTCAGATTTCTTCTATGTTCAACCAGTGAGACGCTTCTTAGATTCCCATTCTTGGGCCTGCAGAAAACATGCAGCCAGCTGCAATTTCACATCAAGGTAACTAGGGCGAAAACGCAGCTCTGTTTGGACAGCTGTCGGTAGAATAAACATTAGTCCAGCAAACAAAAGGTATCAGGCACAAGAGCAGACCCTAGGTTCCTTGGCATCATTTCCCCAAAGGACTAGGACAGCTGAGTTGGCATTTTGAAGATGCAGCACCACAACGGGCAGTTGCAACTAGACCAGATGGGGCACCGAGAGCCCAGCACGAGCTGCAAGCAAGGGAGGTAATTCAGTACTGGAGCTGTGCAAACTGATGTCTGAGCAGCTCTTCAGCAGAGGGTCTGTGCCTGGCTTCCACAAAGATCTGCTTTAGAAAGTCCCGACAATGTTCCGATATGTGAGAGGGGAGCTGGGGGTTGGTGGGTTGGGTGGCAATTTTGAAAATGGCTGCCATGGCTTCGTACTCTGCCCAGGGTGGTTTCTCTGTCAGCATTTCCACAACAGTACAACCGAGGCTCCTGGAAAAGCAGACAGGAAAGAAAAAGTGAGAATCTCACACAATAATGCACAGTGTTCAGAAAGAACTTCCAAGCTGCCAACACAAAGGTGCAGCTCTGCTCTGAGAACAGCTACGAAACGAAACCCCACGTGTGCACGGACTCGGAGCCAGACCTGCCAACGTCGCTGCTTCTGCTGCTGGCAGGCGAGCAGTAAAGTGCTGAGACAGGGAGGCTGGTTTCCACCGTGGTTCTCGCTGCACCAAGAACCGTGAGGTGCCCCCTGTCCAGCTCTCCTTTGCACAAATTCTACTCTCAGAAAACATTTTCATTAACAACAGGGGACAAGAGGTGCACAAGAGATCATACAATCATAGAATTGTCTGGTTGGAAGAGACCTTCAAGATCGAGTCAAACCATTCCCCCTGCACTGTCAGGGTCCCTAAACCATGTTCCTCAACACCAGATCCACACGGTTTTTAAACAGCTCCAGGGATGGGGACTCCACCACCTCCCTGGGCAGCCTGTTCCAATACTTCACAACCCTGTCTGGAAAGAAATTTTTCCTGATATCTGACCTAAATTTCCCCTGGCGCAACTTGAGGCCATTCCCTCTCGTCCTGTCATTCGTAATGTGGGAGAAGAGACCGACCCCCATCTCCCTACAACTCTCTTTCAGGTAATTGTAGAGAGTGAGAAGGTCCCCCCTGAGCCTCCTCTTCTCCAGACTGACCAGTCCCAGCTCCCTCAGCTGCTCCTCATAGGACAAGTTCTCTAAACCCTTCACTAGTTTCGTTGCTCTTCTCTGAACCCGCTCCAGCACCTCAATGTCCTTCTTGAAGTGAGAGGCCCAAAACTGGACACAGTACTCCAGGTGTGGCCTCACCAGTGCTGAGTATAAGAGGGACAATCACCTCCCTGCTCCTGCTGGCCACACTGTTTCTGATACATGCCCTAGATGTCCCTGAAGGCACTGTTTGACTCCAGTGGTATTTCGGGTGCTGCTGCTGTTATACCTCGAAGGCACTTGCTGAGTTGCAAGGCAGGAAACACACTTTTTAACCAAGGTCCAGTGAATCAGAGCTGGCTGACCCCACAAAGCCATTTCAGCAAAATCTCTCTTCAGTGCACAGCGTCAGCATGTCCACGTGGGATAAAAAAGCAAATATCTCCGCTTCACATGAAACCATGCATCACACACAGTCCAAAAATAATTCAAGTCTTAACAGCTCCTACCTGAGAAGGCTGTAAGTTAAAACACCAGTAGGGCAGATGCATTGTCATGCTCAGGCAAAACTGGTAAAGTTAACGGGGCTCTGCGGCTACCTCAAGGCAAGAACGTGGCTACGGGGACAGGCACGGCTGAGCCACCTTTCTGAAGCGAGCGTGACATCAATACTGGCACAGGGAAGATGAGTTTCTGTAGCACTGCAGTGATTGGGTTTTGTTCAAAAAGGATTAATTGCTTCCTCCGGGCCACGGATTAAGCCAAAGCAGTTACTGAACTTCTAATATCCAGCCCTGTGTTTCGATCACATCATTCCATTAAAAAGGCAAAACTGCCTCTTCTACCTTTAAACTAAACCTTCTTTTGAAGTGCAAAGCAAAGACATTTTCAGAGACAGACTTGCATCAATTGCCCAGACAAGGAAGGAGGGGAATTTAATCCAGTGAATAGGCAAGAAATGACTTCTTGACAAGGTTTAAAAACCCAACGTGAAAATTTTACACTGGTTTCCAGCCATTTAAGACTTACTAGAAGAGAGTACAGAAAATGCAAACCATGTGTGCTGAAGTGCTGGGGGTTTGCTCAAGAGCAAGCAGGGATATATTATTGTTTAGACTGATTTATACCGTTTAAGCAGATCGGGTTTCTTTAAGATATTCAGCAAACATCAGGAATGTTTTTCATGTCAAGTCACTCCAGCAATAACAAATAGCTCACATATTCTGCTATTTAGGAAAAAGAAAATTGGAGAGGGGCCTGCAGCAGTGGCGGAAAGCCAGGTGGCCAGATCTGTTACGTCTTTGAGCCTCTTGGCCATATGCATCCACCCTGGGACTAACGCTGCACTGGAAAATTCTGACCCCCCTCAATAACCATCGGGATTGCAGGAACTGGAGCCCAGCCAACCCATCTCTTTGATGGGAATGGACCGATGTCAGCACCAAGAGGAAATCCACAACTGCATCAGCCCAGGGGGAAGGGCACGTGCTCCATTCTCTCCCCAAGCAACCCAACTGGGAGAGTCTGTGGAACTTAACTCTTTGCATATGAGACAAATTTCAGCTGCGTTTCCACCCACTGCTTGTACAGGAAACAGCACAGGTCTTGCTTTACTGTGGAGACACAAACACACCTTTTGTCGCTGTTGTTTAGTTTAGTTTTTTTAATCTCAGCTTTTTAAGGCCTCCAAAACGAACATTTTGACAAGTGACCATTTTGCTTTTTCCTTTCGACAGAGGCTGTGTCTTGGCTATGCCAATAATAGCATGGCTACAGTTTCCATTCATGCATGCTTCGGATCACCTCTGATCTGACCTGTATCTTTTGTGTTATTCCAGCTTTGGGCATCTTTCCTTTAAAGCTTTGTCAACAGACTCAAATTCTATTCCTTTCATTTCCACAGTGTTAAAAGCATACCTCTCATTTTATGACAAAATGAATGGACGCTCCCTAAACAACCTTCATTCTCTCTTATAAGGGATACAAGAAGGATGGAAACCAGAAAAAGTCAGCAAACAGAAATCAGCTATCAGTTTGAGGCAGGAATGAGTGCAAATTGTTCCTGAAAAGCTAAACCAGCAGTTGTGTGTTGACACTGCCATGTACAGCCTGCAGCAGGTCGTGTCTTGAGTTCAAACCAACTACTTCACCTCAAACTGCTATAACTTTTGATCCAGGAAAAAAAATATCTGAAATTGGATATAAATTAAACTATGGACAGAAAGTTAAAGCCTCACCACACGTCTGCTTTTCTTCCATAGCCTTCTCCGCTGATCACCTCCGGGCTCATCCAGTACGGTGTGCCAGTGACAGAGCGGATGCCTGTTCCAGACATACAGATTGTCTGCAGCCGTTTGCTGGCCCCAAAGTCCCCAAGCTTCACATTCCCAGCAGAGTCACGGAGAATATTGGCTCCTGGACAGAAAAAAAAAATAAAAAAGGGATTGAGACAGCTGTTTTCATGCAATCCAGCTGTTGGATCTGCAGCCTACAGAGCTGATATCCAACACAGAAATACCCATGCTTATGGTAAGGCTTTTTCCCCATTAAGCCTCAGGTGACCTGCTAAACATGGTTTCTTTATTTCAGGCTGTAGACAAGCCAATTGCTAATGGCTGCAAATGGGAAAAACTTCAGGGGAAAAACACAAGGAAGTGAAGGGGGAAGGGAAATGAGAGCTGAGTCAGCACCATCATTGTTACATTGCCTGTAAACAGCTCAGCCTATGCAGGGCCCCCAGGCCAATGGCTTAGATCGTACATAGCTGTGTAGAAAAGGATTTTATTGGGATGCTGCTTTGGTGAGTATAACCATTGCTTTCTGGTCAGCTGGGTAACAGATGTAACTAATTAAGCCACTTTGAACTCCTACAATAAACAAGTCAATCTCCATTTTACTTGGTCAGAGGTTCTGAACATCAAGCACCAGGGAAAAAGCAAACTTAAGAGCTTAGCTTGTACGCGGACACAAACTAAGGCTTCGAAACCAAAAACAATTCTTCCTCCAAAGCCGCAATAAGATCATGAACCCTGTGTTGCCATTATCTGGTATGTGCCTATGCGAACTCCTTCTGCCCTCAAATAAAACACATTTGTGCTGGGAAACAGCTTTATCACTTCACTTCTGCACTGGAAGAGCTGAATTCAGAATAACAAGTCCATCCAGCACCCTGGAAGCAAGTCAACAGTTTGGCTTAGATGGGTGCAAACCAGTGAATAACCCACCAGGAGGAAATCATTTGGTAAAGAGCACCACAAAAGCAGTACAGAAGGTGTTAGTGAAGAATCAGCAGCTCATTTCCCTTTGCCAGTCTAGAGGGGGTGCAACAAAGATTTACAGGCAGGAACAAGAGGATATTTCTCCTGCATCAAGAAACCCTCCTGGTCCCTCTAGAGCACACGAAAATTTGCGTGGTGTCCGCCACATCTGTTGACATTAACTCTTAAGGAGACTGGCCGGCTCCATGGGGTTATATTGGGAAGAGGAAGATTAAGGACTAATCCCAGAGGCTCTACATGGGAGATTAGAGGTTTCTTACACAGAGGAGGCACGATGGTCACAAGAGCCTGAGTTAAGCAGGATTGCCAAGAGGAGGCATGGAGCTCTTACGGCAATGGGTATGCCTACCAGCTAAGAAATGGTACTTTGACCAAGCACAGAGGAAATAAGAAAATCCACAGGGAAATCAGCATGCCTTATGGGGGCAGTGACAGTCAGGTGGCAACTCAGTCTCATTTTGCTGCGGTGTGAGAGAAAGATGAGGAGTTATGGAGGAGTGTTCCTAAGAATGAGAGGCTTCCAGTCTTCCTTACTATAACCAACTGCCATGCTCTCAGGTCATGTAGAGAGAACAGCCCAATTTCCCTCACCCAGCCCAGAACACAACCTTCCCTAAGCCCTGCACATGGATGTAAGATCAAAAAGGGATAACTGAGCAAAGCAATGTTCAGAAGTCTCAGCCAGGATACTGAATTCTAAACAGTTGGCTTCTTTTTTCACAGTTCCTTTGGCACATGGGCTACACATTAATCACCAGCTGGTCTCACCCTTTATGTCCCTGTGCACAATCATGTTGCTGTGAAGGTATGAGACTCCCTCGAGAATCTGGCGAGTGTATTTCCGGGTTACATTTTCCGTCAGAGCACCGTACGCCTTCAGCTGGTCTTTCACCGACCCCTGCACCAAAAGCAAACAGAAGGAATTGGCAAAGAAATGAAAAACCACAAATTTTGCAGTCTCCATTCAATTCCCATGAGCTGTGTCTGTGTTATACACCCCAACCTGGCCTCTCCTAAAGCCTTTCGTGAGGCTCTCAGAGCATCTTGCCCTATGAAGCCCTTTTTAAGAAAAGCAAGGACATGTTTTATGGCAAAAATAGCTTAAGGAGGTTCTGCCTGCTTCCTCCATCCTTGAGCTGTGCTGGTACAACTGCTTCTGAAGACAAGCAATAAAATAGTTCAGCAGACTGACCCGGGTCAAAAGTCTTGCAGGGTCACACTTAGCCTAATTTGCTGTACTATACGACTCTGCTAATTCAGTTTACGAGTTGGCCCAAGTCCTCTGAAGTACTTTCTTAGAACAAATTTAGACTGAAGAAAAGAAATGGTGTTAGTGACTAATGAAGAGAATATATTTCAAGTATAAGACACTAAGAAAAAAACTGAAGATGTGGTTTGGGCATAAATAAAAAGAAAGTGGTGGCACTGTAAAGCCAGTATGACAAAGGGGTATACCTGAGGGGGCACAAGGTGGATTACACAGAGTAATCACAGCAACTAATAAACCAACTAACAAAACCATCCATCTCACTTGACCTGTGACTGTGCTGCTTGTGTCAGCTCTTACCCCTGGCATGTACTCCATGAAGATGGTCAAGGTCTTCTCTGCTCGATCCCTTAAGCAGCCGTAATACTGAACGATACGTTCGTGCTGGAGATTCTTCAGCAGCTGAATTTCGCACTCCAGGGCACTCACTTCCTATGGATGTTGAAGGAGAAAAATAAGGTTCTGGCCCCAGGAAATATTCCATCCTAATAAATCTGTCCGTGTCACTGGAAGGATGAGGCCACTGCTACACCGAGTAAGTCTAATCCATGGCATTGGCTCACCTACCTCTTGAGGAAGGCAAACATTACCAACGCTTCACGTTAATCCTTACTGTACAATAAGCAGGTCAGTATTGGTGTGGAAACTTGGATAGTTAGAACACAAGCAGCATCATATATGGATTTAAGTACCAGAAAAACTTTGTTTCTTGTCTTGATTCTGTCAGGTGAATGGCTTTAAGCCAAGTAGGTTGAAAGCATTTAACACACAACACAGACAGAACCTTACTTCTCACCACTAAGCTGAAGGCAGCGAGCGTTAATTACAATTAGGAAAAAGCTCTGAATATACAGTTACAGAATTGCTGAGAATCTTTCTGTTGTAGCCTCAACTCATTAGAGAGCAAGGCTACAGGTGCTAAGAGTTCCTAACTTCTTTTGTCTCCTAGTCCTGTTCTGATTCTCACTGATGACTTGACTTGAGTCACCTTAGAGACGGCTTCCTCTCTCATTGACTTCAAAGAATCTGCGCTACGCATACGAAACCGACTCTGCTTTACTCCTGCCACAGACAACAGGGTATCGTAGCACAAAGGCTAAAGGCTATCCAACAATTTCAGACTGAATCAGAGATGTTTGTCGCCCAGGAAAAGTATCAGGTTCTTGCTGAATCCAAGGAATGAAAAGGCTGAACATCAAAGGTACTGGAGCACAAGGATTTGTGGAAAAAGGAATGATGGTTTCCCCAAAATTAGTTCCACTTAACTCCCTCCACTCTTGCCACCAGAAGGTGCCAGGTCCACTTCTTTCTCTTTGGAAGAAGATGCAGCTTTTCAAGAGCAAGGACCTGCTGCTGCAGAGATGCACGGAACCAGAGGAAGTTGCTTAATCAGGCCAACTGATAGTTTAAGATTTGCAGTTTCAGTGCCTTCAAAATACATTCCAGCCTGTTCTTCCTTGGCTCAGAGCTACTGTCTGATTTACAACAGAGACGTGGTATAACTTACAACTTACCAAGTTAGGACTTATGGCACCAACACCCCATATAAAATCAGAATAATTAAATCTTCACGGACCAGTTATTCCAGCTCACAGCAAATTTGTCAATATTGGGAAACTGGTACATTGTTAAAACACTAGCAAAGAACCTAACACCCATTCCAGCTGCATCCACTGTGCAGGAGTCGTGCCAACCTATAATTTCAAGGTGTCCCTCCCCGTCTCCACGATTTCTAATGTGCTGTCATATCACTGCTCTTGATTAATTTACACACCACGGTTCAGTTTGTTTCGAGGACAAGGAGAACACTGAAGCAGAAACTGGTAATTAATATACTTGATACAGGACCTACCACATAAGCCCACAGAGTGGGTTTTGCAAGTGCATGCAGCTTTTTTTGTTTAAAAAAGAAAAAAGTCCTGCTCTTTCTGGGTTTAGTTTCATTCACATCCATGTCTAACCAGGAACACAGGGCAGTCTAGTATTCCTCAAGTAACCTGGCAACAAACCAAAAAGTTGAGAAGGGAGAGCCAAAAATGAAGCCAGAAAACGGATTTTAGTTTCAGGCTGAAGTTAATAATATGGAAAAGCAATTTTTAAATGACTCCCATTCCTCTCCACATGGCTTGAAACCCTAGTACAAACTAAACAAGATGCCAGCTTTCGAGGACACACAGATACAGGCACTTCACAGGACCTCGAAGTCTGCATAATGAATTTTAGTAGCTGTGATGAAAATTACCTTGCTTGTTTCAGGACTCTCCGGGTCAAACTGGACCTGCTTAGCTGCAAGCTCTCTGCCCGTGTCCACGTCATAGCACAAATACACACGACCAAAGGCGCCCTGGCCCAGCAGTTTTCCTCGTCGCCAGTTCAGTGGAGCACTCGGAGCTAAAAAAGAACAGTAACAATTTCCCTTTTTCGTTGTACTATTTGAAGATAACGGTGATTTTTTCAAAGATCAACTCCCATCATCCTGGGATTGAAACAGATATTTTGCAGTTGAAGAAACAGACATGAGGCACTCTCCCAGTACAAGGGAGTTAGTGGCAGAACTCTGAACAGAATGCAACCATTCAGACTCTCTCCGGACTTGCTGACTGGTGTCCCATTAAAATGAAACTGTGAAACATTTTGCAAAGATACACTATAGACAAGTTACTTGATGAGGTTGATAAAATTTCATTCCACCAGCAGAACGGATTCTACAACACCACTATCTTAAGAGATGGGGCAGCAATTAAAGAGCATCTTCCAGCCCTTGATCTGTAGTTACTACTTGCATCAGATGAAGAAGAGCTGGATCAGCCTTGCCAAATCAATCCCATCCAGCTGGGAATGACTGTTAAGCTTCTGGGACAACTTAAGGACATTACTTCTGAGTTCTTTGCCAACCACTGGTTAGCTTGGCGTTCCTTCCTGCAGGAAGGATTTCACTGCAAGGCTATCTCTACAGCTGAAAATTAGAAGCCATCATTCCCTAACAGAAATTGCTAAGGTAGGGGCCATAATGTCAGCACAGCTTTTACCTTCTGAACAATCTGACTCTAATAAAAATATACATGAGAACCAGCTAAAGCAGCTACCTCCAATATCCCAGCAGGAGGTTACGTCAGCAAGGAATTATGAGTTCTCATTGTTCTACTGCACTGGTGAGCGTGTTGCACAAGCAACAGTCTCCTGATCCAGAGATTAACACCTGAGCCCAGTTTTCCAGACTGCACTTAATACTAAAACATATCACTCCAAGACCAGTGCTTCAGCTCTAACTTTGAACATGATGCTCCCAGTCTCATGCAGTGCAATGCATCCAGTTACGTTGTATCTAACAAGAAACTCTACAAACAAAGACAGGAACCAGCCATCTGGACAGTGTGAAAATACAGAAGAGCTGAGAGATCAGCTTTGCCATGTCTAATTTAATCAGATTTACTGCCAGTCGGTGTTCTAGTGTGTTGTTTACTCTGCTGTATTAATTCCTTCATTCAGATCCTTAAATTACAGGGATATCTGAAGTTCATCAGTAGTGATTTACATTTCTTTTTTTTTTTTATAATAAAAAGTTTCCCAAAAAACAACTCAGGCATGCTATTAATACAGAAGTAAATCTTTCTACTACAGAGCATGTGAAATAATTACAGCCCTTAACTAGTAAAATAACTGTAATCCACAAGCCTGACTACAAACGTTAATGTACCAAGAAAATAAACAAGCTTGTCTGACTCTTAAGAACCCTGTAGATCATCTAGATCCAACCAACTTCGCTGTACTTCCGATGCTTTCTAAAGGAATGGCAAGCTCCCAGTGCAAGACTACATATTCTTGGAAAAAAAAGATGACCCAACTTATAGGTGAGACAGACCCATCTCAAAACACAGCCATGCCATCATGAATGGCTTGTTAAAATCAAGCTATGGCAATACATCGGGTCTGGAGTTCATCTCTAGAAGCTTTCCTTGCCCAGAACCCCAGGAGGCCTCTTCCCAGTTATCATCAGGATGACTGCTCACATTTGGTGGGAATGTTCCTCTCCTGCACACCAAGGGCGTTTTCGCTGTCAGCACTTCGCAGGCGTGCCCGGGGGTCCAGGTACTGCAACGCCAGGCCCAGGTTTTCTCCGTTGGTGCTTAAGGAACGACTGGAAGGGACCAAGGTGAAAAGATTCCCTTGGTGACGCCGTATCCGGGGAAATGTCCTCCGGCCTGGGGAAAAAAAAAAGTAAAATTTCTAAATAGGATGCTTGTAAGTGGAAGGTAACAGCTGGAGGTTGAGCAATGAAGAGAAGGGAGAAAAAAAGCATGTTCCCACAGAACAGAATCTACTGCCGAAAAGGACAAGATGCAAAAACACGCCAGTTCAGGGCTGATGTTGCTTGAGCTCAGTACAGCTTTGCATCCGTCCCAAAGCAGAAGGGAGAGAACACTTCACAGAGCCCTCAGTGCAGTACTGCAAGATGTAAACTCGCCTTCCAAAGCAAAATCTGGTTTACAGGCAACCACACAAGCTCCAAGGCTTGTTAACAACCACACAGACAAAATGACTTTCTAGGTAACATGCCTGGACTTGCAAATAAAAGCCACAAACGTTATTACAAAGATTATGACAAAGCTGTACCTCTGATGGAACTCAAAGAAACTAATTTCCATAAAGTCATCTGACTAGCAGAGATGTGATTCTTTAAGTCACTGGTATCTTGAAAAGACCCAGAAGCAAGTTTGCATTGCGAATTATCAAAGCATAATGAATCCTTGAGGTAGGAATTCACTATGTATCACCAAGGGTAATAACCACGTCCACTGCTCGACCCTGGCAGTCACTGATCAGCCTGGATATTCCCAGAAATGGCAAAGTAAACAAAGAATTACGAACAGCTACCTTGGGTTGCAACACAAGTGTGACACCATGCATGGCAGCATTAACTCCAGCACTAACTCCAAGGACCAGGGCACTTCCAGACTCTTCAACTAGGAGTCCTGCTTGTCCCTGGAGGTTGCCACTGCCTCACCCGGAATCGAAAAGTCTGAAAACAACTCACCATCGTTGTAGTCTTTGTGCTGCATGGAGACGTTGTAGCGCCGCGGGTAGGTCCCACCTTTCCCCGCTTTGTCATAGATATGATTCTCACGGTCTGGAAGGAGATGCAAAGACAGAAGTGAGGCTTCTTCAAAAAGTACACGTTCTAATGACAGAATTTTCCTGTAACAGCAGGAAGACGTGAGCAATAAGTAACTTCATAGCTTTTCAATCAATGTATCCCGAGTTCCTCTATTCATACAATCCCAGCAAGCACGGAGGGGAGCCAGCAAACAGCACAAAACGTCTGGATCAAATAATCTTTATACCAGACACTGACATACCTGAGAACTCCTGTCTATTATCAGGAAAGCTTTGTGCCCTTGACATCCGTGACTTCCGAAAAGAAGGACTATTAAAGAAAGAAGGGAAGAATAAGTTTTGCTATCTGCTGGAGTGAAACCTGCCAGGACTTTAAATACAAGCTCATACACTTGCACATTGGTCACGGTGATTCTCAAATCCGTGTCCCTGCAATTATTTCACACTACATCTGCAAAGCTGAAGCCAGGCTAAGCCCCCGCTACCCAGGCTGTTTCCCAATGTGGGCAGTCATCCCTTCTGTCCAGTTTGTGCCACTTATTCCGTGGTTCCCCTGCCTCTGCTTTGAGACGCAGTGCCTCCTTCAGCCACGTGAAGTGGAAGGTTAAAACCAAGGCTAAGAGGAGGAGCAGAGCAGGGTACTGCTGACAGCACACTGCTCACAGGGCAGTACAGAACGGGGACCACTGGTCCAAGCAGTTTACCACGAGGGGTAAGAGCTCCTCACATGAAAACTTCTGCATACTTTCCTCCCTACCAGCAGCGGAGGAGCATAAACACAAACACTGCTTGTAACACCGCATCGCGAATCCTTGCGTTTCTCCTCAAAAAGCTGGGCTGCTTGGGCAAGCCTGAGTATGGCCCCTTGTTTGGCAGAAGGCCTTTAACATCTCTTAAGAGACTGCACAAACTCAACCTGTGCCAAAGCCACGTTAATTGCACTTTTTTTTTTGTTAGCCAGCGTAAACTGAGTGAGCCTGATAACAGCATTCAGACTCCCAAATGAGATTCCTTTCCTACTACGCAAAGAACAACGGCCTCCCCAGATTATGCCTGCTCCTACAAGGAATAATCAGGAAGGCTTCTTTTCCCCCCCACCCCATGTCTTGCACTTGGGGCAGGGGAAGAGGAGAGAAGGTAACAAATTAGCAACATCACCACCCCCAAATAAATGACTGCACATACACAAAGATTTAACTTTTAAGTGCTTCCTTGTAACTCCATAAATTGGAAGAGGTGAATGGCTACGAACTTGAAGCACTTGACATAAAAGCATATGCTACCTCTAGGAATCAGCTTGCAGGCATCTCAAAAAACATGCTGAAGCCCAGTATCACGGGTGCTCGGAAGCCACAGCTGCTACTCAAGTTAACAGGAGCTGCTGCTGCCCACCGACAGCAAGGAAAGGGAATAAAAAGATCTTGAGCATCGGACTATGACAAACTCTTCAAAGAAAGAGCTCCCCTATTTAACTTTGGAATTAAAGTTATATCTTGCAGGACACAGGAATCTAGTGTAATGATATATTTTGTAACCTTGGAATAGTTTGGGTTTATTTTTTAAACGAACAAGTAGAGCCTTGTCTAGAAGAGCTTTAACTACCCTGCAGCCAGATGTTCCCAGAGTCTAGGCTCCACACAGATGGCATGCTTTAGAACTTCTTATTTATAACACAGAGCTACTAGAGCACCATTTTGTTGCTGTATAGTTTTGCCAGAAAATAAAACAGCCTTAAGATGTAGTTAATTCTCTCTAAGAAATACATTGGGATATAGGTAGGAAATAAGGTCCTATTTCTCGCCAAGAAAATTTATGGGATGAAAAACAGACTTTTGTGTAAGTACAACCGGCATTTCAATTTGAGCACGGAAGTTCCTACCAGCTTGTACATTTGTACCTGTCTGCTGACCTGTCCAAGGACTGACAGCTTCCTGACACCGAGTTTTCAGCACTGCTTAAAGGGTCCAGCATCTGCAACACAGAAGAAATCACACATCAGTTCAGTTTAATGTCTAGAAGAGGCATGTAAGAGGATCAGAGTTCACTACTGCTTGCCTGGAGGTCATCCAGATGAAGAATGAAGTCTAAACGTATTTTGAATATATGTTTTTCCCTTATCTCCCATAGAAATTATTAAGGCCATAAGAAATTTGAGCCATTGCTTTGGGTGTTGAAGGACTCTGCTGTGAAAATGGAAGTTTAAGTCAGCCTTGTGCTGTGTTTTGATCCCAACTGACTTCAGGAGCAGAGTCTCTGCTGGTGCTACTGCATCGCTGCCTCCACCTGCCAGTCATCCCATGGCCTTACTTCCTACTTTTCTGAATGGAGGGTGCAGTTTCAAATGCAAGAGGGTCCCACACACCTGGTAATGGGAAACCCGAGCACACGTGTACTGCACACCAAAACTGCTCGTTCAGAGGTGGAGAGGCAATGCCCAACACGCATGGTAACGGCTTCTGGCAGCCCAACAAAGGCTTTCAACTTACACAACTACAAACAAGTTTAAAGCATGGTTTAAATGAACAAAGCAGTACCAGTAGTGCTAATACGCCTACAGCCAGCAAATATCCTGGAGTGAGAAAGAGGGCCCAGAGAGCAGCAGTTAGCTCCCTAACAGCTGGACTTACTTTTTTTCACCTGAATGGTCATACTTACACACTGTTCATTGGTTTCTGGGATGAATTCGCCTTCGCTGTTTATGCTGGTGTAGGAACCCTGCCGAGCAATGCGCTGCTGCCTCTCTGGAACATACCCAGGAGGTGGTGAACTTCGGCCTGTGTTCTGGGAACCTGGGCCAGAAAGAAGGGCATTTTTGATATTTATGCTTGCTGAAATGACACTGCGCGTACATGTATGCAAAATCCAAATATTCACCTCTAATGCTAGACCAGCAACTCTGGAGTGAACCTTACAGTTTGGACAGAAACAGAACCAGGAGGTGCCACGTCAAAAAACCAAATTGTTCAATGAGCACCAGTACTGTCATTTTAGACACTACAAGATTGTTGGTGGAGCTCCTAACAGAGCAGTCATCTATTTCTGACCTCTTCTGCTCAACCTTCTGAGCGTAATTTCAGTATCTCAAGGAAGGCAGAGGACTCCAAGAATCCCTGGCTTTTGGGCATGAACTTCACTGATAATCTCTGCTAAACAAAACACTTGTCAGGGCAACCAGTCTTCTGTCTTGATTATAAGTTTGCCTCAACTAGTATCGTTTACCTGGAGTGACAGCACTATCCCTGGTAGTCATCATCAGCTGAGCTAGTTATACTGACACTGAGCAATTTCAATATCACATGGGAGCACTGTTACCTTTGTAAATAACCCCCAAATTTCTGTTTTACTGAGTGAAAAATGAAATTGTATGACTCGTTTGGACAAAAACACACGGAGCTCAATTCTGCAATTTCTGTTCATGAGATGGGATAGCCAGATGGACAGAGAATGTGTTTAGGAGCCAAAGGAGGGGAAAAGAATTTTACTCATCTGTTAATGGTGTGACCTAAAGAGTTTCTGTTGTGCTACCTACCGAGAGAAACTTCACCCCAAGGATTTGTTTTTTCCTTGCAGATCTCGAAGAAGATGATACTTCAGAAACAGGAAGACACAAAATCCCTTTTTGCAGTGACCTATCCACCTGTGGCTCCCACCAAGTCACACTCTGAGCTCCAAGAAACGCTGTAGTCCAGCCAATCTACTCAAGGTCACCCACGAAGTCAGAGACAGCATTTTAAGACCAGCTCTCACGCTGTGCTCTTTCATGATGCTGTCTTTAATTAACTGTGTGTACTCAGGTGCTACGAAAGATGCGTAAAGATCAGCAAATACTCTCCCAAGGAAAATATTTTCTACAGAAGTTATTGCAATGAAGAGTGAAGGCAAACACGGGCAAAAGCTAACTGAAAACCAGTGCACACACCTTTCAGAGGGCTGCAGAAAGGAAAAAACCCAACGCTGGTATGGCTTAGAGCGCACGCGGCGGGGGTGAACTACATGCAAAAAAAAAAATAAAATCTATTGCTTAGAGCTACCACCTGATTTTCCGAGCAGCTCGGCGAGGCGCACGTGACACCGCAAGCCAACTGGCACGGAGATAAACAAGCGAGCGTGCTCTGGGGCTG